GCACACAAACTTTACACGCACACAAACTTTTTCAACACTAAAAATGGTATCGCGAAGGAACAACAACAGAAAAAGTGTCCGTATTACTAATAAAAGCTGTCGTTCATAAAGTGCCAGGGAAAAACTCATGGTTATTAATTATTATGAGAATGTTAAAAACGTGAGAGCAACTGCAAGATGATTTGAAATCGAGCCAAAACAAGTTTGTGAGTGGCTAGACAAAAAATATGAACTTATGAGTGCCGCTCCTTACCTTTTAATGCTTAACTCTGGTCACCAGGCCCAGTTCCCGTTATTAGAAGAAAGACTTGTTAAGTAGATTAATGAACGTCGCAATGAGCAGTATGCTATTACCCAAAACATGGTTGTAAGAAAGGCCAAAACATTAGCCAAAACTAATGAATTTAAAAATACATACTCTGACATTGGCAGCTTTAAATTTTCCAAAAGCTGGTTGTGTTGGTTCTTGTACCCCCATAATTTTTCAAATTGTAGACGTACGACAGTTTCCCAGCACCTTCCAGCCAACCTTGAGGAAAAACAAAGTGAATTCTTAAGTTTATTTTGTTTAAATGCCGGGAAAATAACTTTCCTCTTAGGTATATTGGAAACATGGACGAAACGCCCTTGTCATTCGATATGCCTAGCCTGTTACTATTGAAAAATGCGGATCTAAGACAGTAGGTATCAGAACCACCAGGCACGAAAGAACAAATTTTACTGTAATTCTTGGGTGTCTTGCCGATGGCGTGAAACTTCTGCCCATATGTATTTTTAAACTGAAGACCGTCCCCCATAAAGTGTTTCCCCAGGGCGTTATTATAAGAGTAAATGAAAAAAGATGGTGTAATGAGAATGAGATGCATTTTTGGATCGATAATATTTGAAGCAGATGCAGTGAGCTGGTAAAACTGCAGTTTCTTCTCGTTTTGGATTCTTTTAGGGGTCATATAGTAGATTCTGTTAAATACCAGTTCAAAGAAAATAACACCTACCTTGCAGTTATTCCCGAAGGATTGACCAGTAGGCTACAGCCTCTAGATGTCAAAGTGAATAAGAGTTTCAAGAGTAAGGTATATACATCAAGATGCCTTGATCTGTTTTGAGTTACAAAAATATTAACATATTTAATTTTTAGATATGATATCGCTATGAAGAATGGATGGCTAACACGATTCATCAATTGACACCAGCTGGATGTCTACGAAAGCCATCGTACGCTACTCTTGCACAATGGGTAATGGATTCGTGGGACGAGGTTGACCCTTGCTTAATCGTAAATTCATTCAAGTGTTGTGGTATTTGGTCACGATTGATGGGACAGAAGACGATTTGGTCTTCGACTATGAATCATTGAGTGAGAATCTGGCAAATGAAAACGATGAGAATTTCGAAGTAGTAGGTCTTGATATTAATAGTGAAGAATACGAAGAAGTTGATGGCATTAATAATGTTTGAGAATAATTACAAAATTTTAGATTCTTTGTTAGATTTTGTTTTAGATTTTTTTTGTCAGATTTTTAGATTTTTTTTTGTTTTTGCTTTGTTGCATTTATCGATTTTAGATAATAAAGTTTGAG